GCCTTTAATACAAGCTAGACATAGCTACCATAGAGTCTGACACATCTTGTACATTTGTGGTAAACTGAAACAGCTGCAGGTAAGGAATGAGACTGAGTAGGAAAAAGTATATGAGCAAGTGAGGTTGAGGACCAGAAGCCAGAAACTTTACAGTTCTGGAAGAACAAAACTCAGTTACAGGAGACTGAGACCATTTCTAGACCTCCCTCTTGGTCATCATTGCTGAATGAAGAGTGGGATGATTGTTTATTCTGCAGACACAAATGTATGCTGAAGTTATAGCATATATATCATATCATTAAATATATGATACATCTAGTATATCATGTAGGCTGTTTGGTGGGAGAGGGGTTGACAAATCTGCAGGGAAGTCTAGTCACCCATAATTTCCTTTGACAAAGTAGTGTTTCCTGGTGAAGTTCTCTTCTTCCAGGGGTATGTCAGAAGTAGTAGCTGTTGCTATCAATTTCTTTTCACTGACAGAAGTGTATAGGATTTTTGAGCAGTTTCCTCTGTATGGATGATTGGTTTGCCTGCCTTCTGAACGTGCTAAGAAGAAATGACTGGAACCTCTTAACAGGAAGATTCAGCAATACCAAGACAGCAAGATGTGATGGCATAACCTGAGGCAACGATACATGGAATACTAATACTAATACTTTATAATAAAAGTATAGAAATGTTTTCAGTTTAATGTGCTTTCATTTGCAAAAGTAATTTTATGGCATTTAATTTTCCATAGAAAAAAAGACTGAGCTTTGTTTACTTAGAATTGACTACTTGACTACTCAGGGTGATTTACCTGATTACAAATGAGTTAACTCTATTCTCTGCCTCACTAGGGCTGCTTAATTTCATCATAAAACCTGACAACTTCTACCTTACTAATCCTATGAAAATATAATATATTTTCCTATAAGCTCAGCAAATATTTTTCACTTAATCCATAGATCCCAGCCAACATTTAAAGAATCACACAGACTTATTTCTGGCATATCTAGATTGTAGGTTAGTGTAGATTGAACAGTAAAGCCCTCGCACTGCTGGATGCCCCTTGGGACTGGGTTACAGGATCCTTCCTGTCCAGAATGGAGACCTGTCATGGACATGTAGTGTTAAAAGAGCAGCAGTAAATAACAGCAAGAGAAAACTAGTGCAATGGCTCGTGTGACTCTACTAGAGCTCACCCATCAGAGCCCCCTTCAGAGCTATGCTTGGTTTTGCAGACGTGGTTCCTTCCTACTCACTACAAGCCTATTTCAGCCAAAAACTTCTAATAAATGTGATGACTTAAAATAGCAGTATAATGTACACAAATGCTTGTAAGCTGTACATGCCTAGTCACAGTGCTACTCAGGCTGCTGCTCTGCTAAGTATTAGCACTGTTAATGATTTATGTGGTGCCACTGAGCTGTGTGACACTTCACAAACATGTCCAAAGACTGATTCAACCATGAAGTCAGAATAACTGAGGTAATGGGCCTCCAGGGGAGGTCAGTCCACCTGGAGGGTAGGTGCAGATCTGCTTGTAGACAAAGCCCTCACTAGTTATGCATTAGTTTCACCTGAAATGAAACAAAAGGTGTTACAAAAACTTTCTTAGAATAAAAGGACTTTTCCATATGTCCTTCTGAACTGGGCACTGAGAAATGCAGCTTACAACTCTTACACTTGAAGAAGCAAGTCCAGTTGTTAGAACTAACTCACTGGCAGTGCTGAGTTACTCTTTTCCATTGCATCTGTGGATGTACAAGATTTTAGATCAATAATATGAAGTTGAGCCTGATAGGACTAATGACAGGAATTTGGGACAGGATGGGCTTTGGTTGGAGCAGTTAGAAAGAGAACAATTTGTAGAAAACCAAAATCAGTCTTTTTCTATTCTGAACAAATAGCAAATGTCACAGAAACAAAAACAAAAACAAAACCAAAAACAAAACCAAAAACAAAACAAAAACTATTGTAAGGACTTACTAAGATGACTAAAACAAGATCTACTCAGTACGTACTGGCAAAGCCCCCCAGCACAGGCACGTGTGCATGCAAACACACACACATGCATGCTGCATTGAAGACCAGTACTAGGCATTTGAGACTAATATTGGGCATTTGATACAACCACAGAACCAGTCAGCCTACAGCTTTTTCCACCTAGAAAATGTTTGAGATTCATTCAGCTGCAAATGAAAGGACAGAAATAAAAATGATAAAATACTGATAAAATATTAAACAGGTCAATTTGTTTTCAGCTGACCCCTTAATTTTGACAAAGTATATTTCAAAATGAAAAGATGTTTCAAATAACAGAAATAATAATTTTGGTCTAAAAATGTCCGTGTTTTTCATTCTGGCATTGTTTTTATCCCTTTTCATCCTTTTCATGGAAGACATGAAATTGAATGCGAATCAATGCAAAAGCAACCATTAAATTGGAATTCTGGGTTCTTTAACAGAAAACTATTTTTCTGAACCCTTTCCAGCTAATGTTTTACAGCTGTTGCAGTGAGACAAGTGTTAATTTAGAGGGTAAGAAAGAGCTGCCCTGCGAGAAAAATGCTCTGAGTGACCAGGATGCCCAAAGTAGCTGGCCACAGGGCTCTGCACCCCACTGCTGCTCCGGCTCCTCCTGCCCAGGACCCTCTCCAGCCTCCCAAGGCTGCCTGCCGGCAGGGCTCACCTGGGCCATCACTGCGTCCTGTCTGCCTCCCAGCACAGCTGCTCCCCGGCTTTCCAACCAGGGTGGTCTCTTCTCCCACTCCCACCTCCTTCTGGAGTATTTACTGGAAACATGTTTGCTTAGGAGGGGGAGGTTAATCCTTTTTCACACAGAGCTCCCCTCCCTTTTCCCAGGAAGCTTGTTCCTGAAATCATATTTTATTGCAGATAAATAAAACACTGCTAAAATTAGGCTCAGAAATTGAAGTAGCAGGTTTTCTTGGCTGTACTCTTTCCCCTGTGTGGTCGCTATCTGCTCCAGAGAGCGGCCGCTGGTCCTTAAGTTCCCTTGTTAAATCAGTGGTCCATGTGGCTGTCTCCATAATGAGGTTCCTTTGCAGCGATTTTACCTTGTTTCTGTTATTTCTGCCATCCCAACATGTGCTAAGACTTCTTCAGACATGGTGAATTCTGGTTTCAAGGTATGCTAACCATTGCTTCTAGCTGCCTCTAAGTAAAAATCAAGGCAACAATTTTTGCAAATAATATGAAGTTTTTCTGGGTGGTTAAAAACAAACCTCTGCTTCAAGGATCTGCAGATATGCTTGCTTAGACTGCCTGACCAGAAAGCAAACTGGCAGGTCAAATTCAGCGCAAAGTGGTGTTCAAAGAGAAACTATATCCTATCTTCATATATACACTGATAGACTCTGAGCTGACTGAGCTTACCCCTCAGGACTGAGATTTTTTTATTATAATGCATAGCTCAACTCAGAGCTTCACAAAATATCAAAAAGCAGTTAAAATTCTATAAATTATTACAAGGAAACAGAAAACAAAGTAACATCAGTACGCCGTTGCAGCAAACTGTGATCCAGTTGCACCTTCAATGAACTAGAAATCTGGCACACCCCCCATCTCCCCTCATGTGAAAACTGATACCTGAATCCTAGAGAAGGTTCAGGTGGCAACATGGATTAAAAAAAAGTGTACAGAGGTATATATCAGACAAGGAATGACTAAATACACTAGGGCCTCCTCAGCCTGGAAAAGAGGGGGCTATGATGAAAGTGTACAAGATCATGAGTTGATGGAGATCCACTGTTCTATCTCTTCCCCTTCCAGAACCTGGGAGCATTGAATGGGATGGTGTCAGGTTTGAATGAAGGCTAAGCACATTTGCTATACAATGTTTTGGATGTTGAAAATTCTGCATGGGTTAAAACTGAAACCAGACAAACTTACAGAAGAAATACCTCAACAGGTGTTATATGCAAAGGAAACCCCTGAAATGCAGATTCATGGGGTGTGAGTGCACCCCTGAGCTTGCTTCCCTTGTCCCTGTGTTCCTCCTCAGCTACCCGCTCTAACCAAGCAGTCACCAGACTAATTCAGCCTTCAGCCAGATTCACTCTTTATATTATACTGCTGCATAATGACAAAACACAGTCGCCTCCCAACCAAGGCAAGCATTTTGGTTAGTGGCATGTTTTCCTCTGCAGCAGCAGCCCGGTGCTGAGCACAGCACATCTGGTGGGAGCCCGGCAGCCACCCGCACCAGCGCTACCTGCTCTGGTGCCTCCGTGCCACCAACTCAGCTGCCCAAAGAGCTGCAAGGATGCTTTGGAAGGTTTAAATGAGCCCCAAAGTTCATTGACAGTAATTTAAGTTCTCAAAGAGTTTTGAAAAGCCATTGTGTTCCCACCGTGCCTGGTTCCTGCAGCCCTGGATACGGCATGCAGTGATACAGGCAGCATCGTGCCCTGCTGTCTTCCCTGAAGCAGCCAGTACCACAATCAGGCTGGCCCAGCTGGAGGCAATGTTTGCCTGAGCCTGAAGTGAGTCTCTGGCTTTGTGGTTAACCTCTGTGTCAGCACAATGCCCAGGAAGAATCAGTACAGTATAAATAACAGCATTCAAAATCTGATCAGGATGAATTCAGATTGCTGATGTACCCAGTGAGGCCAGAGAACTCCTGGTTCATGCAAGAGGCAGGTGATTACATCACCGAAAAGAGGATGAGGTTTAAGCCATTGCTTCCTACAATTCGTGTGTGGACAAATACAACAACTTTTATTGAAAAAAAAAAAAAAATAAATCTTTGTTGTTTTGATGTTAGTTACTAGGGTGAGATTCCTCTGTGGTCACCGCTTGACCCTGATACTGTGCAGTAAGCCTGCGCTCTTCTGTTTCTTCTAAGGAGAGCTGCTTCTGTGCCTCACTGCATTACCACCATGAATGGAAAATGAAAGTTCTCTAATCTGTGGCAGCCACAGGACACTCCTCTTTCTCTTTCCTTTTTCTGACTGAGATTTCACTCTTCTCAAAGCAAAGGGAGGCAGAAAATGGAGTTAAAGTTACGCAGGGCGCTGGATTTCTGCATCCGCCACCAGACCGCTCTGGGTTGCAGCATTGTGTCCCTGCTGACGGCTGCCAGCAAGCACATCTTCTCATCCGTGGTATTCAAGTGTCCCTGCAATTCTGGGAACATGCTGTATGGCTCCGTCTTCCTCATAGTGCCTGCCTTCATCCTCTTTCTGCTTGGCTACATGGTGAACGCCAGGACCTGGCGCTTGCTGACAGGCAGCTGCCCTCCGGAGAAGCGCTGCAGCTGCGGCCTCTGGGGAACCTGCGCCCGCTACTGCCATGTGCTGGTGCCGGTGACAGCCAGAGCCATGGTGGCCCCCCTCACCTGGATCGCGGTGGCCCTGCTCGGAGCCAGCTTCTACGACTGCGCAGCCAGTGGGAACAGCCTGATAAAGAACCTCCTGTGTAAAGATCAAGGACCAGACTGTCACAAGCTGCTGCTCAAAATACCCTGCGATGAGACGTTATTGAAGCACATCTCGGGTGAATTCCTCAGCCTTCAGGCGCAGTCCCAGGTAACACCTCGCTGCTCTGCTCTTCACCTGACGGGCTTCAGCCCTGGCTGCTCAATGTATGGTGGTGCCTGCTGGGGACTGTAAAGAGTCCTTCTTGCTCATGCTAATTACCAAAAGTACACAATTAGCCAAAATTCATTAGCAAAAAAAAAAAACAAAACAAAACACTAACAGGAAGGTAGTAAGTGTGTATTTGTGCTATTTTTGCATGGCAATTGTTTGGCACTGCCATTTACAGAACCTCTTTCAAAGCTGGGCAAGGAACTAACTTAGAGACAAGTACTTTCCATGCAAGCTTGCTTCTCATTTAACTTAGGCATGATGCAAGTTCTTTTTTTCCACTTTTACCCCTCTAAACATCTCAAACTTTTGTAAGTAAGCATTAGCTGAGGGGAAGCTGAGGTCAGGAATACAGAGGAAGCTGATGTCACCTTGCAACAGGGAACTGGCAAGTGAAACAAATCAGGACAGCTTGTTTGACTATGAATCTCAGCACTTGAACCTATTAATAATTTCACACTTGTATTCTAGAAGAATAGCTAAAATATGTATCTGTCTGTCTTGTTAAAGTGTTTTTGTGCTGAAGACAAATTGCATCATCAAAAATATAGCACATGTGAGTGAATTCTTTTGTCTGGAGTGAAATGAAACCCCCAAATTTTGGCAGCACTCCCATTTCATTTCTGTTTTTTTGGTCATTGTCTTAACTCCAGTAGAAAAATCAGGTTTTATCACTTTTTCTCAGGAAAACATTAAGGCTGTTTAATGGAGTTAAGTTTATAAGAGAACATTACTTGAATTTTTTATAAGTTCCTGTTTCATACAAATGCTTATTTAAACAACAAAAAAAAAGTTTATATTTGTTAAATATTTAGCATGCTGCTCCTCCAAGAAACAGGCTGAAAAGGGGTGAACTCTATACCATTGAATTCAGATAGGGTAGGAAAGGAGAAAAATCAAGGAAGACTGACTGTTATTGATATTGCAATGAAATCTAAAAGAAACAAACCAGTCAAACAAAACCAGAAAAAGCACGAGAGCATTTTCATTACTGACCATTATTTTTAATATCTGATCTACTTTCAACAAAATTAAGAACAAAAGAGAATACAAACTCATTTTTCTTTAGCACTTAATGTTTTTCACTTGAAAAAAAATCAGCCTGAGGTGAAAGGGGAAGCTGTGAGATCTGCTTGGAACTTCCAGCTAAGCACCACTGGGTACTGGAGTAACCAGCATCTACTAGGACACCTGCTTTAGGTGGGGCATTTAGGAATGTTAAAATAATGTACAGAACAAGAATGAATTCCTGTATTCGGTCATCAAATCCATGTCATGCCTACGCAAAGGACACAACTCTTCCTGTATGCTGTGGCAACTGGCTATTTTTTGCAGGCTCAGACATTCAGGAGAGGAGGTACTTTCCAAGAGCAGATAAACCACAGGCAGCAGGAGGTCTAATTCACTGCACCAGAGGTGGAAAGGGTGATGCTGCACCCTCTGTACTGTAACTCCAACCACAGCTGCAGAAACTGCTGGCCAGTATCTTGCCTTTAAAGTTAAGAAAGCTGGATATAACTGAGGAAAGAACTTCACTCCACCTTCTTTTTTTTTTTTTTTTTTATTCATCCTCAATCCAACAAGGTCAGCTCAGGGGTGCAGAAGGTCTGCAGGCTGGCTGAATTGTGTGCATGGGATCCCCTCTTTCTACAGCAAGCGGACTGTTACAAGCACTCCAGGATGTCTTTGTCTACAGTTTTCATGCCTGCTTCAATGTTAAGTTCTCTACTCCTACATATGACCATGCAAACCCACCACTAACCTATTTGTCTCTTTTCCAAGATGATAGGATGGCTCCTGATAGCCAGCATCGTCACCATTGCACTGATTTCAACATGTGTCAGCCACTGTTGCTCCCCAGTTAGCTATCTTCAGCTCAAGTTCTGGAAAATTTACATGAAAAAGGAAAGTGAGCTCTTTAAGATCAAGGCTGAAGAGCATGCAACCAGGCTGGCAGAAATAAATACAAACTGCTTTTTTGGAGCCATTGACCCAGCACCATTTCAGACTCCCAGCAATGACGACTGGTGGAAGATTTCATTCTTGTATGCCTTCAATTCAGAGGAGCAGTATTACAGCATGATACACAAGTATGTTAACACAAACAGAGGCAAGAGCATTAGATTTGGGGAAGGAAATCAGAATCCCCCTGGTTTAGGATTTGTGGATGAAGCAAGCGCAAGTGAATCAGGGTTTTAATGAACCAAATCCTTTGCAATGCTGGCAATTTTTTAACCCTACTGATATAAGAAGAGTCTTATTATGTGCTCTTATTGAAATCTATGCAAATTGTATGAAAAAGCTGATAGCTGTAACACTCATCAGATTTGTTTTTAAATACACTTTATTACTTTTGCTTGAGTACATTTAAATATATACATCTGTCACAATGGGAGTGTTCACATGTTGTTGTTCATTAAGAAGAGCCACGTGTGTAAAATAATCAGCATCCACTAAGACGTCAGCATGTACAATGTCAAATTATTAGCAAACACCTTAAGGGCATCTGGTAGCTGGAGTAACAATACCAAACCTTCGTACCTGGCAGTATCAAAGAGACACACAGGAATAGAAGTTTTGATCGGAAATTCAGCTCAGTTTTTTAGCTTTCACTTGGCAATACATCTTTCAGTGAAGATTAGAGCAAGCTCTAGAATAAAACATTTACTTTCAGTCAATTAGTTTCTCAAGGCAGGGACTGTATCTTTTAAAATCTGGGAAGCAATTAGCATTTTGGAGCTACCTGTGCATATCAAAGGAGTCCATCGGAATGACTTCAGTTGCTTATCAGTTTGAATAGATGCGCAAAAAGATTCCAGCCATTTTACCCCTGCATATTCAGCTGCTTTATGTAATAACAGTGAAACTAAACTTCCATGCTGGTGAATTTTCTTTACCACTGCCTGATCTTGATCACCTATTGCATCAGGTCTTCTTAATTAGCTTTACTGCTCATTTTCTGTAATTCTAAAGCTCTTTAATGGAAAAAAGTAGACATTTGAATGCTACAGGGAAAACACACCAGCATTAAACTTCCTGTTTATATTCAATTTATATAGTTTTCTTTTTTTTTGGTGACAAATAAATTATTATTGTGTATTTTTTTTTTTAATATTACACACAGAATTCTGGCCCTGGCATTGAAACCTAAGCTACATCTGCATGTCCCTGCCAAATACACTATTTAACTTTATCCAGAATGGACTCTAAGTGCAAATTAGCATGTCTTGAGAGGTTAGGCTTATGCATAACATGACAGTATAAGTGAAGCTTATACTAACAAATATTTATAGTATAGCTAAATATTTAAGAACATAATAAATCCACAATCCAAATTAACAAACCTTATCAAAGAACATCTAATTATAAGAAACAAAGATACCAGTTTTGAGTGAAGAAGTATAAAGTTCAGATTTTCTCTGAAAAGTCTTTTTAGAGAGCATTTTAGAGAGATGAGTCAGATTGTTTGGTTCAGGCTTTCCTTTCCATCTTCCCAGAAATCCTCTCTTTCTAGACAGTAAACTCTAACCTGGAAACTGTTCAGACAGGCAGACAGGAATCCCATAAAGTTGTTTGTTACAATCATTTTCCAAAGAGGAAGGAAGAGAAGAGTATGTTTTAACTAGCTGAATGTAACTAGCCTGGAAGCTTAATTCTTAGTATAGACTGAAAATATGACACATAAAGGGAAAACAAGATTTAATTCTATGTGTAGAAAATTTCAAAAAGCATTCATTCTGTCACAGAGTCACTGACTTGCTCAGTGCTCTTTTCCTTACAAGAAACTTGATCATAGTAGAGTAACAAGTGTCCAGTTTGTTACTTGTGGCTCCAGGAAGCATTGTTCAGTTAAAAATGTTCTATTTTACCTCTGACGTTGAAGAGTTCATTTGTTCATTGACGCCTAGAGAAAGATAAATCTGCTCTGGAATGTCATAAATGGGAAGGAAACAATGTCCTGGCCCCACTGCGACCAGTGCCTAAATGTTCCCTGACACAGTGCGACTGGGCTTTACCTTAGAGATATAATAAAATACTTCAGGATAGACTGAAAGCCTCCAGGAACATGCCATGCCTTATTTTATTTCCTGACAGGAAGCTACAGTGAAAACACACTCAGAATTCGTATCAAATCTCTGAGCTGTATCTGGGTGGGCTTTTTAATCTCTAATCTGTGCTGCTTTAACCAACTCAGGCATTTCTGCTGTATGCTAATTTGCATGGTGGAAACTTATCCTTCAAAACTTACCTTGTCCAAGCAGAAGTAAAGATTTCCACAGGCTGTTTATTCTGAAATACAGAAACCTAAAGAAACAGCTCTGATGTCCTACATTGAGCATCACTGCAAGTGTTTGGCATTGAAGGAAGGGGAGGAAGCCTTGGCCACGCCGTAGCTGGCGTGGCAAGACTGCAAAGGCCCCAGGATGATGCTAACGGTCCTTGCTTTAAAAACGTCGTAATAACCAGCCTTGACTTTGATAGCTAATCCTTGTGGGCAGAAGCTCTTTAATAGGGCCTGAAGACACAGGAGTCAGCCTACATGTCACTGCAATGTGGTGACTCTGATAGTTTAGCCAGTGCAGTGCAGACCTCGACAGAAAATGTTACCATAGGTGTGTGCATGCACACACACCTGTCTGCAAGCCTTATGCAACAGAGGTTTACGTAAGAGAACGGTATCTTACAAAACAAGGGCAGTATAGGTTACTCACTTTCAAGATAATAAAAAGAGGAGAATATTTGGTTGGTAGGATGTTTCTGGAAAAAGGTAAAATGATGACTGCCTTGTAAGGAACCTTATTGTGGTCAGCCAAACTCACTGCTTGTCCACCTGTGCCAGCTGGGCATAACCAGCAAAAAGCCTAGCAAGGGCTCTTGCACAGGCAGTGAAAACAGGCCAACTCCACAAGACCTTCCAGTCCTGATTAAAAAGAACAACCAAACAAACAAAAAAACCCCCAACAAACCAACCCGAAAAGAAAAAATAGGTAAATTTTGTACTGATTGTAACACACTGTTACATATGGTAACTTGTTATATGTATCAGGTAAGAGGATGTTGGGCTGAGCCCAAGGCTGGGTAATGAATAGCTTAGTTTTTGTTCTATAAAAAGTTGTTTTCTTAAACCACCGTAGATCACTATTAAGACAAACGAAGAGAGAAAGATTCTTGTGAGGACTGTACAGCTCTGGTGGGAGTGAACCTCACTGTTCCCAAAGCAAGAGGTGCCCCTCACTTAGCAGGATTAAGAGGTAAAGAGACAGAGGGAAAAATAGATGAGTGTACAAATCACAGGGATAAAATCAGAGATAACTTGGGCTTCACTGAACTGGATTGAGGGTTTGTATTTCAATTTAAAACAAGTGCTTTGGTGAGAAGAAGGTAAACTGGCTTTGTGGGTAGGGTACTACGCTAGGACTTGGGACCTTGCATTACACCAGACAACATTAAACTTTTCCTATAACCCTGGTCTCTGCAAGGCTGCTATTCTTCTACCTCAAAGTCATGTTGTGGTAACAGAAATCCACTGCCAAATAGCAGACATTCAACAGCCTGTGATGAAGGTCAGGTAAGAACAGAAACAACGACCAGCAAACTGGTTGTGTGGCAATCTCTGAATTTTATTCAACTTTACTTTGGTGAAGTACAGATCCACAGTGACTATACATTAAATACACCATGCTTTGTTCAGTGTGGTCGTAAGATCAGTGTTCTTGAAGAGAAGACTGATGTGAAAAGGCCCATAGCTTGAAGCAACACAAGCATTGCTGCGGACGTCAGAGTGCCACAACCTGATGTACGCAGGGGGCTGCACACGCATGCCAGCAAAACTGCATGTGGGCTTGAAAGAGCCATAAGGAACCAGCTCCTGCCATGAGCAAAACCACATCCCTCTCTGGTTTAAAGGGAGCAGGATGTCCATTGTGGAGGACAATGAATGGCAAGCCATTATGCATCAAAACAGGCACCAGACGGTGAGACACTGCATACAGCAGTCAGAGCCAATGAATTCATTATTCCTAACCACAAACAGCCAGGGAAATAAAGCACCTCTTAGCAACCATGCTCTGAAACATTACCAACAAACAAAATGAAAGGTGGTCATGTTTACATGAAAACAGTTGGTGTACAAATTAATATCTTGCATCCACCATGCGCTAAATACTGAGAAAAAACTTTAATTGAGCTCAAGAGTGTGGTTATGTGAGAAGGAAGGGCAGGCCATTTTTATCTTTTATATTGGTATTTCTGTCATGACAATTAAGATTGCTTTCCCCCTGCTCTGCCCCTCCTGTTTGCTACCCAGCTCTCTTCACCTTTCAAATGTATGAGTGGGTCAAGGAAGCCAATTTTACTCTTCATGTCCTCTTCAGAAACAAAAGGTGCAAAATATCCCTCAGCAAAGGTTTCTCCCAATATTTCTTTCATTTATTTCTTTTGTGTTTTCTGTCTTCAGCCTTCCTTAAAAAGGTAATTCCTATTTCTGTCACAGCATCACCCTTCAGCCTGTCCTGGAGGAAGGTAACTTCTGCCGCTAAGTGAACCTAGAAAGAATCAGATCTGATCAGTTAAGCAAAGAAATGCTTAAGGTTTTCCCTTCCTCCAGTATTACGAGCTTTCTCTCTCTTACCACAAGGGGACCCCCTTTCTCAGGTTTCGTAAGAAACAGATTTATAGATTGTTATAAAGTATCTCTGCCAACTAAGTTAATAAAAAGGAAATTTATATACACTGGAATTTGTATAATATATTACCTTTCATTCCAGTGCTCTGCTTTCTTCTGAGAACCTAAATTGTGTACTTGATGATTTTGTGATCAAGAAATTTCCTGGTCCCCTACTAATACTTATGATAGAATATTTTGTTAATTAGTCTTATATCAGGTACCATAATTCTGAGACTGATGTACATACATAATCCTTGTACAGCTTCTGTTTTCTTGAAACATAAGATATATGACAAATTAGATACTGACAGGAACATAAAGCAGCCCAAAACTTATCTTCCAGAAAATGCCACAAAAGCTCTACAACTTAGTTACTTTCAAATGATGCCCTTTGTGTATTCTTTTGTAAAAGTCTTAAGTTTAAGAACACAATTTGGAATGCCATTTGATACATTTCTGATGCATTGGGTTTAACATAATACTCATCCACACTTTGTTCTCCCTTTCAGCAGGCGCTGTGGCAACCTGAGAATATTATCTTCATGTATTTGGAAAGAATCAGGGATGGCTATTACTGGTTACACCTATGCAGAAAAACAAGACAGGCTCAAGGAGCAGCGAAGAAGTCCAGCATGCCCCCTGGCTCTCCACACTACATGTTCGCTGGCTCTCTGGTCCCACCTGGCTTTTGTACCCAAGTCAGCCACTGAAGAGCCAAGCAGGGACAGCGCTGAGGTGAGTCAACCTGTGTGCTTCTCTGCCTCAGGATCCAGGACCACCCTGGCCCTCTTTTATTTAGATATAATCTGAGAGAGAGATTAAACACTAATGAATTTCCTTCATTTATCTGAGCAAGTGGTTTTGCTTTCCTGTGCCTCTGCATAGTGGCAAAGAACGGAGAAAACAAATGTGCACTTTCTTACCATTTCCAAAGCACCTCGAATCACGCCACAGAGGAGGTTGCAGTAGCAAAGTGATGCTCGTTCTGCTGGCAGCTCCTCCACAAAGTCCACTAGTGGGTTTTTGTCCAGGATTAAGGAAAATTCATTTCCTGCGGCACTGCTGCAGCTCACACTAGGAGTGACCCCAAGGTACATCTTGAAAGCAACCTGAAAAAGGATAAAAATGCTACTACAATCTGTTGTGTGCAAACCAGAGGGCAAACTTTAGGATGCAGCATCCTGTAGACCAGCTTTACCCCAGGAGAATAGGGGGAAGGGCAAAACAGGCTAGAAAGTGGACTAGATTGTCTCTTCTGATCAGCTTGAGACAGAGATGCAAATCTGGAGCTACATGATACTCCAGGGAAGCAGAGCAGAAGGCTGCTTATTCTGTCTTTGATGTTCTTACATTTACAACTCCATACAAAGTGGTTTTACTGTTATTACGTCTGCTTTCATTCGTGTCACACTCCCTTGGGACCATTAGCATCTATATTAGGTCCTTCTCTACACTGTCGGCAACTCTGATAATCACAGCTCCTGCAACTAGTGACTGCGTGCTTTTACCGATTTCCCTCTGCTACCACAAAAACAAACAAACAAACAAACAAACAAACAAACAAACAACCTACAAAGACTATAACTGCCAAGACTGCAAACTTATTTGATTATATGGAACATTGCTTGCTTCCCTTCTACTACCAATAAACATTATTGTCAATGTGCAACATCTGCTCTGCTAGTGGAGGGATCCCCTGTGAGCGCGTTGTTTCTCCAGACGGTGACATCAGTCGTTATCTCGACAGTGCGCACGCAGGCAGGCTAGCAGCAGGCTGCTCCTCCTCTGGAGAGCTCTCCCCTGCTACACCGCTACAGGCTGCTAAGGCTGCTACAACCGAAGATAAAAGCGTCTTGATTTTTACCTCTGTAGTACCAAACATGGATGGTTTACAAACAATCATGAAATTCTTCATGAACCAGAAAACCGCTATAGGTTACAGTTTTATGGCGCTGCTGACAATGGGAGGTGAACGTGTGTTTTCTCTTGTTGCTTTCAGATGTCCCTGCAGCAATGAAAACTTCAGGTACGGTTTGGTATTCCTCTTCTCCCCAGCTTTTGTTTTGCTAGTTATTGGATATTTCTTGAACAGCAAGACCTGGAAACTCTTTACAGGCTGCTGGGTGAATCCCAGAAAAATATTCCCCAGAGGGAATATTTGCCATTTCTTTTACATCTTTGGACAAATTACTTTAAACGCTCTGGTGGCCCCAGTGATGTGGCTTTCTGTGGCTTTGCTTAATGGGACTTTTTACGAATGTGCCATGAGTGGCTTGAAAAATCCTGCCTACTTACAGGCAGTTTGCCATAGTAAATCTGCAAAGTGCTTTGAAGAGCTACACAAGGTAGCCTGTGACAAAAGCTCCATGCCCCTTTCAGAGAGTGATGAACTGAAACGAACTCTTCAAGCACAGTCCCAGGTAAGAAAAATAACTAAAGAGCATTATGCAGTTTGTAGTGCTGCTGTGATTTATCTGCGGAAGATCCTGATGTCAGATGCTAATGTAAAACCATTGGTTTCACATAAGCAAAGTTTTGGCATGATGTAGACTTGCAAAATACAATCAATCCACCTTTTAGTTCAGTTTGAGCTGTGTCATACTTCCTGGGGGGCCCCACTGATGGCAGGATCAGTAAGTCTGGATAATTTAAAGCTTTCTTCCTGAATGAAGACTGCTCTAAAGAGAAAAAAACACTGGATTGTTTAGGAGGCTGAATTAACAGATGTCATTCCATTGAAGGGGTCTGTCCTAGTAAAAAATCCATATCACACCCTCCTATTTTATACCATCGTGATCCTGTAAAGAAATCTTAGGTCACTAGCAGTAGAAAAATACTGGAAAATAAGATTTGTGACAGATTTATGACTGCTTACATAATATGTTTCTGTTTATGTTCCTCGTGTTCATGATGCCAGACAAGAGCATGTTTTTGTCCTGATTGGAGGAAGGAAGAAAGACTAAAATAAAACTCACAGAACATGTAAAGATGAGATTGTATTACATTTTACTATATTCGTGAGATACCATTCTGCTCACTGCCTTGTAAATAAATTTAGAGAAAAAAAAAAAAAAAAAAACAAAAAAAAGGGAAAAAAAAAAA